GGGTACGGTCCTCCCACCTACGATAAACGTTCCCATCCTGCCGCCTGTACTCCTGCCAAGTTTGAATGCCCTAGGGCCAAATTGACTATTGCGGCGCAAAACGCCACCCCCTGTGCACGGATTCCGGTCCTGCCACTTACCAAAGGTGTTCCCATCCTGCCCCCTTTACTCCTACCAAATATGAACGCTCTAGGTCTACGGGGACATGAGTTATGGAATTGCGGCCCAAAGTTTCTCAACGCGTACGCCGCGCTCCCTGTGCACGGATCCCGGTCCTGCCACTTACCAAAGGTGTTCCCATAATGCCCCCCCCCCCCTTACTCCTACCAATTTTGAACGCTCTAGGTCCACGGAGACAGGAGTTATGAATTTCCGGCCAAACACACACACCGACACACACAAACACATACACAAACACACCGACACACCAACCGACACACTTAGCGAATTATATAAAGTAGGATATTGCGAAAGCTTGACAACCCAAATCGGACATTTGCAATAAGGAAGATGTGGTTCAATCCCAGCTTTGACAATCTTCGTTACCTACGAACCAAAATCAAGCTACGGGAAGGAGGAGCTGGGAGCGTTTTATATGGACCTGTGAAGGCATTCAATAGAGGACCACGCTGCACTCTACAACCCTCTCAATTACGAAGGACACTTTAGTCACCCGTTGCAGATCCAGAATGAAATAGGAAACATCATCTTCAATCAAATGTTGCACGTGACAGACGACGACGTAGATGTTTTTCCAAAGTTCTAAGCGAGATAGCTCCATTCTCTCATATGCACTAGTTTCTGTTTCTCAATGCGTGGAGAGAGTGAAGTTCAGCAGACAAAGCCCTGAGACCTTCATCAACTGGGACCATTTCGCTTCCCTTGTGAGTCTTTGGGAAGAACGGAATAGTTCAGCTATGCATAATGAGATGGAGAGTTCAGTGTGATGGACACAAAAAGAATGCCACGCTCAGGAGCATTCAGGAATAAGGGGAGAGCAGTGAAAAAGACAAGAAACCTGAGACTCCGCGCTCACCTTCTTGGCACTACCGGCCTTCCTACCTTGACGTACGCTGGATGGACATGAGTTTAACGAAAGCAGGATGAACATGCTGTCAGTGTCACTCAACGCGCTTTGGGTTAGGCGACGTTGGGAAATTCCTATACACGGAAGTGTTGAAGGGAATCCGGAGCTCCGAGCTCCGTCATCGAACGCAGATTAGGTATGCTGTTGCCTACGAAACCGAAGATCAGGTATGCTAAACATGTTATGGGATATCGTGGTGATCGCTGGACCAGGGTGACTGCTGACTGGATCCATTGGAGCGTCACCTGCTCATTAGATTTGAACAGTAATGTAAAGTTTAGGAGCTATCAATAAAAGCTTTGAGTCTTCTGTTAAGCTTGGTCGTTGCGGACGGCGATGAGCAGAACTGTTGCGTCCCTAGTTCTGTCTTCGTTATTTGGCAACGTAATTAGGATTGTACTCTGTGGATGGGCAGAGTAAGAAGTCGTGGGACATCTTGCAACTTTGGTAAATGTCGTCACAGTCATTTTGACGCACATTCTTTAAACAGCTGAAGCACCGATGAATTCTAATCGCTAGAATTTCTCTCGATACCCGGCTATCCGGCCCTTGCTTGTCTGTTTATCTGTCACCACTGAATTGAGCGAAGGCGTAGGAAAAACACGCATGAGAGCTGGGTCTTTTGCAACACAGAAAACACACACATGGTGAAAAATTATTCAGAGCAAATCTTCGCAGCGTTGATAAAATATGTCGACGACGATTGAAAAACGTGAAATATCTTTATCAAAGATTAACTCGAAAATATCATAAACTAAGCGTCGATCATAAAATAGTCTATAATGACAATACAGAGCAAAAGATTGAGTCGGATTGGAAGTGTTGTTGGCCTGTACTAGGTGTGGGTGCTCATGTGCTTACAGCCCCACAAGCTCTTAATGCATCATTGCGTTCTTCCTCGAGCTCCTAAAGTAAGCAAATTTTGTTCAGACCAGCAAAAAAAAATGATGTGCCAGAGTAGACCTTCTGAGTGATTGCAATCTTTTTCCTCGCAAAATCATCAAGCGAGAGCCCTCGAACGATTTCCCATTCCTTTGTCTCTCCATCAATGACGACTGGGAAAGAGAACATTAGCCCTTCTGGAACGCCGTATGATCCATCTGAACATACTGCCATCGAAACCCATTCCCCCTGAAAAAAAAANAAAAAAAAATCCTCAGGGAAAAATTGCAGACATTGAGAGCTGGGCGTTTCCTGTAATCTGACGTTCTTTGCTCTTCTATTATACGGAACGTTTGTTCATATATCAATACCAACAATCGGCAGGGCCATTCGCCGAGCTTTAATAGGGCTCTGATGTTTGTACTTCAAAAAGTGCTACTTAAAAAAGATCATTCATCATTCAGAACCTTCCAGAATTTTAACTTTCCAAATGCTTTCAGGGACCTATAACCAGTTTCCTTTGTTCCTAGTATGCCGCACTCGTTCAAGACACAAGGAGCGACCGCATACGACTACATTGACCCCTAAAAGTTTACTCAAATTCGGGAAGCCCTCGATTAAATTTGAATTCGCAAGACTATTTTTTATTAAGTCGGTACACAACGCGTGAGCACTTATACATGGGAATCGTGAATTTTCTTTGACGACTGATGGCAAAGATTCATTTTCATTTAGTCTAGGATTGACTTTTTTCATTCACACTTCAGCATGTAAATCAGATATTCTGTATCTTTCAGCACCAACAATTATTTTCTAAAAACAGCGTGACTAGCTCTTACCCACAGCATACAAGCACGAATAACAAAAGCCCGGTTTGCTGGCGCATCCCTGGTAGACGCCGCTGACCCGACACTTCCGCCAGCTCCCAACGCGAAATTTTATTAGATTGACCAGAATTTCATGTGCAAAACTACTTCCACTTTTTGAAAATACAAGATATCCACAATACAAACATTACAATAAATGAATCTCGAATGGCATCGCGACGACAACCAGTCAACCAGAAACATGTATCACGGTGCGCCATCAGCTGTGAATATGGTCCGCTGTGTTATCGCTGCGACCACCAACACCACATCAACCTTGATAGGATAGGGCTGCAGCGAATACCGTAAACCTACATAGGCCTGGCGGATCCAAACAAGCGACGGCGATAATGTAATAACAACAGGATCATTGTAGACTAAACAGCGACGGAAGCGAACTAGCAGTTGCACGAATGGAGACGAATCAGCGACGGAGTTGAGCTCAGTGTTACATCTCTTTGCCGGTTCTTTGCAAGGAGACAGATAGTAGTATTGTGTTCACCTACAACACGGTGAACATTGCATGTAACATCAGGATCATTTTCGTGTTCAGATCGAAGGCCCTTCTGCACAGGTGAAGCTGAAAAATGTGTATAGCGCAAGAAAATGGATCAATGCAGCCTAGGCATCGATAGAACACTTAGAAGACTACGGATATCATCCTGCATTTGCGCGACTCTGTTGAAGATGGCGTAGGCTCAACCAACCATAATTTTCACTTTAGGCGAGAGCATTAAAGCGGTTAGCCGCTTCAATTCCATGAGACGAATTTCGAGTTCTAGTTCGAAGGAATTTAAATGCAAGTAAAGAAGTGCTGGGTTTTACAGGAATTTGCCAAGAGAGAGGTATGCAATAGTATGTTATGATGAACAAAAGCCAAATTAACTGCTGTGCTCGTTGTAGCAACGGTGAGGTTCCAGCGCCTGAGACAGACTATCATGTCCACTAATGACCATAAAACCTTACGTGCCATCACAAAGCGTATAAAATGCGGGAAAGTACCGCTCTGTTGAATGAAATTTTCGTTATTGGTAATCTATTGGTAAGGTTGCTTTCAGGAGAGAATATGTGATGCTCGCAAACGATTGTTGTCCAGGATAAAGGCGTAGTGTAGCATGTTGTGACTTATAGGCGGTTAGGTGGCGCCTTTTTCAATTCAGAGAGATTGTAAATTTTTCAAATAAGTAAACGAGGTGGCTCAGTATTACATATTAGAGATGATTCTATGGCTGGCAAGGCACCTCAACGGCAGGTTAATTACAATTGAGAATGTTCGCTTTGGCCTGCTTTGCCCCATTATGTGGAGCGGAGATGACCGACCACGAGACCGAAACATAGCAATCAGTGTCGGTTCAAAATCCGTGATGGCAACTGTGCCAGCCCTCAAGCTTTCCCGCGTGAAATTTGCCTCTATTGATGGACCTTTTCAGGGTACTGTTGCTGGGCTATCATTATTGTTACTCGCTCTTACTGTTAAACGATAATAGTGTTTGCTTCTCACGAGCAGAATTATTAGCGGTTGATCATAGCTCATCCACCTCGGGGCAGACCATTTCCACTATAAAAACATAACCACCTGTCTTTTGACTGCTCCCACCCATTTTCTCCACATTCTAGAGTTTTCGAAGAGATGAATTTTTGGCCCTAGCCCCACTTCCGTGCGCCAGCTCCGCCCACTTCGAGGACTTGAATACATTTGTTCCAAGACCTCTAACCACTTTTTTCCGCATTCTAGAACGCTTCTGAACAGAGTTATGAAAATAGGATCCAAGCCCCGCCCACTTCGGCGACAACCCCGCCCCCTTGAGGAATTTGCCCACATTTGTTCCATTACTACATTTTTAACTACATTTTTCCCGCGTTCTAAAACCTTTCCGAACAAAATTGCACTCACTTTTGAAAAGTAGCTTTCACCTCAACGTACACCCCGCCCATTGTTGACGGGGCTTCGCCACGTCTACGCATGCTCAGCACACTTGAGGCCTTGCTCACTCCTTCTATTTTTTTCCTGGCTTCGATGCCTTCGCAGAATCAAGTTATGAATCTCTGTGGGAAATACCGCCCAGTCGCGCGAGAACAATCCGCCCACCTTCGGTAAGCTTCTTTTATTTGAATTGTTGCCGATCCCTCACTTTGGCACATTTTTTCACGGCGTCAGGACTATTATGAGACCGAATAAGAAGAATTTGCCCATGACCCCGCCCAATTCCGGTGTATGCCCCGCCCCTTGTGGGCGGAGCTGCGCTAGGCTCATATGTGCTCTGTTGCTCTAGTCGTATGCCCAACCCACCACGAACTTGCCCCGACCTCTGCAAGTGCTTCTTCAGGTAATATCGATTTTCTGTACAAACGAACACATACACATACAGACAGACGCGAGCGTTTTTTATATACTGAGGATACATTATCATAGTGGCCACAACCAAGACCAGGCCACGAAGAAACAGTAGTGATAGGAACAACTGTGCAATGTTTTCGCTTAGCCCCGGGTGCGAACTGATCAATGAGAACAGTGGCAGCCAACTCGTTCCTTCATAGCTGGCTTTGAACATAAAATGAGCATCGAGTGCTTTTCGTTTGCTGCATGTCTTTGTCCCCTTACACATGTGCTGCTTTCATAGTCCGCCGGCCGGGGGCGGCGCTTGCCCCTTGTTTACAACTGGGTCTCGGTGGATACCGTCCGCAGGGTAGTCCCAAGGTCGGCGGACTATAAAAGCAGCCAGTGTGGCGGACGCGGGGTAACGGAACTTCTCCCCTATCGCGGCATTCTCCCTTGCGGCATGCGGCAAATGTCACTGCAACTACCGTACTCACCCCGCTTCCCCGCCAATCCGATAGGACGCGATATTTTTCGTTGATTGCGTTGCTTTTTTATTGGATTTGATCGTTTTTCTTCTGTTTCTTTTTCGTTTTCATGTTTATAAGACTTGATTAATTAAAATGACTCCTCTTATGTAAGCGGCGATCAAGACTGCATTGAAACTGAAGAAAGCGGCCAGCCAATTCAAATAATTAAAGGACTTTCTACCTCACAAATTGCGCGCTCCAATCTTCCATCGCAATCCTGCGATACGCGGCGGGTGCGGCGTGTGCGACGCCGTGACAAGGGAGAAGTTCCCGGACCCGCGGACGCGTCACCTCTGTTGTCACAGTTAGATTTTCTCTGCTGCTCTCCCTACTGCCCTCATTCTCAAGCTTCTTCCCGACAAAATTTTGGCGATCCCAGAAAGGAAAAAATTAGTGATGGCACAATGTAGGGGAGGGACATTGTTACTGCAGAACATACAATCCTGCCTGAACTGTATGGGCTGGACTATTCTCCCTATTGCCCAGTGCCTTCGAAGTTTGGGTTGTTTGCCTATTGAGAGTTCAACTCCTACTTGAGGTTGGTCGCGCACTGTGGCGATATTGTTAGCAGAGCGTTTTTCAAACTTCTTCGCGCACAGCAAGGTACTCAACGTTTGCTATTCTCCAAGCTCAGAACCGACAGTTCCCTTCCTTCGGAAGAGAGCCCTGTTTATCGCTAAGGATGCTCGGAGGAAGCTGTAGGGGACTACATATACACATACAGTGAAAGCTTAGGCACGGGCATGGGTACATTTGTGCGTTCGGGGATGCGCGCAGCAGGTCGCGCGCTGGGCTCATGACGATTTTACGACTCTGGCGCCTATCACTGGGTCACAGGTTAAGAGTAAAGGAGATTGATAGCACCAATTGACCCAACTAATCAATTCTACTTCAAATTTGGGCATTAATAATGGGCGTTATAGTCGTTCGAATTTCATCTCGCGATTTGCCGCGCACATCTCACGAATGTTCCGTCCCCCATGCACACATACACGCATACATTGCATATCTCATCGCATCATCGATATAAAGTATTAAGTTGTCTACAAAACTAATTCATCATATAATTGCAACTTACGGGCCTGGTCCCAAAATGCCAATCACGAACTTGATCGCACGCAGCCTTTGCAGCTGACATGGCAGACGAAAGCTTACGTTTTTGAATAATGACCGCACCGCGTTTTTGGATTGCCTGCAAAAATGACTTTCAGTGATTTCAAGTCAGCGCCCTACAAAAGCTCACAGTACTGACCGAAATGAATGGACCTTGTAGGAACTCGGAATCATTGATCGCAGAATAGGCATCGACGTCTTTCTCACCTAGAAGAGGGAAGAGCTTACTGAAAGTATTATATTTCATAGCTTTTAGAAACTGGTTCAGTTCTCGAGCGTTCTTGAAGAAGTAAGAAAGAAATGAAAAAATGAAAATGAAAAAGTGAAAAATAGGGAATAGAAGAGAATCACAATTTGCAGCCTAAACCTTACTTAGGGTCAAACATCTAACAGCTGGATTGCTATACAAAAAAATGAAATTAAGGAAAATGAGACGAAGCAGCAGGGTTTCCTCAACAAGGCAGTCGCCGAAGAGTAAGATTACGAGCAATCCTAAAAAGTTCATGGTCTGCGAAGACTAAAAATTGCTCCAAGCTATGCACACGTCACATGTACGTTCGAGCGTCCCTTTGTAGTCGCATTTCTTCCGAACTCATAGCGTCCAGCGACTGCTATGGATGGATATACTGCAATGGATTACGTACTGATTTCACCTGTGTCACATGTCGTCCCATTGATCATTGATTTCTTTGAACGAGCATCATTTAAGTCCTCAACCATCTTTTGCAAGTCGAAATTATAAAGTGGATCCTACTCCCTCGAGGGCCACGAGGCATATCATTCCTTTCGTTCAGAGCTTTCGAACGAAGTGCAACTATCACACTGGTGGTTGTCCTGGTGTTCGTTTGGCATCCTAATAAATTCAATCAGCAGCCGCCCTAGTCCAGCAGTTCCACGATATTGTACAATCTGTACACGTCATCTTACAAGGGAAGGATCCCAAGTCGAAGTGGCCATTTGAAATGAGACCTATACCGCTGAACGTATTTTTTGATGCTGATTTCAAATCTGCATTCAAAATCTGCCAAACGATTCTCTGAACGAAGTTATGGAGGTGGTTCCCGGAGGGCGCTCAACAGGGGAAAACCACATAAGCCCTGGACGCCGCCAGCCTAACAGTGGCGGCTTGGAGTGAAGGTAAGTGTGACGCTTCCCAGGCACGGGACCAAGGATCGGGTTTAATGGGCAGCGGCGTTTTTGCATTT